TCCCAGCTGCTTCTCACATCTACGTAGTGAACCATGTCCGCGCGCGACAGCAGCTGGAGCTTCTCTGGTCTTTCCTGAACCCTCGCTCTCTCGGTTTCCCCCACCACTGCGTTTCGCCCCTTTGCCTGTCCTGGTCCTCTCCTTTCGTCTTGGACTTGCAACTCCTCCAGCATTTCCCGAACCTCCTCCGAACCTGACAGTATTCGACGTGTTGCTTCCAGAGCTACAGAAGCGGCAGAGGCATCAGGGGGGATAAACGCATCCGCGTTTCCATTTCCCCCAAAGCCTTCCCCTGGGAATCCTTTCATCGGCCCGTGCTCCTCGTCGCTGTTGGAAGCAATGTGGTCCCATTTGCCGTAGTCAATAGAGCTGGTGGTAGCGGCAGCATGAGGAGCAGCTGCATCAGGAAGCGCAGAAGAAGGAACAGGAGAAGAGGGAGGAGGAACGGTAGGAGCAGCAGCAGGAAGCACAACAGCAGCAGGCGTCGCAGTGGTAACAACACTAGGTGGAGCAGCAGTGACAGAAAGAGGCACGATGATAGTAGCAGGTACAGCAGCAGGACCGATCACACCCTGTTCAGCTTTATCCTTGCCCTTATCCAGTCTGTCTCTACGCACAGCTTTCATGGGGAGAACTTTGATGGTTGAAGTCGATTTGAGCTTCGCTTGTTCTACAGTTGAATCAGGCGAGAGGTAAACAACCTGGCCAAGTACCATAAAACGGACCTGCTGGGTCCGAGCCGGAGACTGATTTCTATCCAGCGCTCTCCCGCTGTCTTATGCACATTCTTGTGCTTCACTTGGTAAGCAGCAGTTTGGCAGATGGGACTGAAAGAGTCTGTTGAAGACTAATCGAAGAGGCTCTTCTCGAGAGGCAGGTATGTGAACGTCCACGCAGGACGATATATATAACTTACTTTCAGAACATCTATCGGTACATATGCTACTGACGTCGCCATTGCTAGAGTTCGCTTCCTCTTTGCTACCATGATCGTCGGATTCACGTGGAATCAAATCAGCCGAGACCCTGAACCGAACGTTGAAAGACATTTCGTTGAATGATTTCTTCAGTTACGGAAAAAGAAGACAATGTATATGACAAATGTCCGTTTTCAGTAAGATAAGCCGAAGCATTCCAGATGAGAGCTCGAATGTAAGGTACTAGGCGTTGTTGCCATGGAAGCGTATGGATTCCCTGGAACGGAGGAGAAGGAATTCAAAGGACCCACCTGCATCACCCTAAAAGGGGCTCGGTTTGGTGGGCCGCGTTCCTTGTCCGAAATCTGCTTCATTCATGGAGGCTTCATGCCACAATGTGGAGTAACATAACGGGTAACTGCACCGCTGCTTGGTTTCGTAACAACGGTTCGGGTACGACAACAAGGATTCGGTAACCCAGTTGCGATAAGGACGACCAGATTGGTTGCAAATACGGTTGAAATTCAAACCACACGACCCTCAGACGGGTAACCAGCCCTATCCAGTGTCACCTCGACTCTGAGTGTAAGGAATTTTCTCGAATTCCTTATCGGGGTTGACTGCTGCGCGTACAACCCGATTTTCGGAGTTCGCACGTTCGGGCGATTTCCACGCTGCCGAGGCTCCTCGCGTCGCCTTCGGCATTCCCATCGCCAAACCTGCACCCAACCTCGCTCGCCCGAGGTTTCCTCCTAGCTAGGCTAGCCCTACATTAGTCTGTGCATTCATTGTATTCTCAGTTCATTCAATCACAGCCTCGATATTCGTTTACCTGCGCACTCTCTTTTACAACTCATAACACTGAGTGTGTTGATCCCTGTGGTGGTTCGGATGGGACGCGACATTTGGTCAACGTCAGCGGACAGACTCAAGTCAACCCCCAACAAGCCATCTTCATCTCAAGCGGTAGCTGAGAAACCATAATCCTGCTTTTATTCTTCTGTGAGCTAGCGTATTGGGAGCCATACCCACCCAGCCGACCATGGAGGGTAGGTCGTTAGTGTTTTTTTGCAATGTCTGAGTTCTTTCAGGTCGTACTCACGAATGCAATTTCCAGGTCCACGCCTGTTGCACAAAGTTATCAGGGAGGGGGATTTTAATGAAGTGCTAAAGGTTCTGGATAAGGGAGTCGACATTGAAGCGAGGGACGCTGTAAGAGATGTTGCTTTCTCTTTTCGTTTCCTTAAGTTGTCAGATTAGAATGACGTACTAAAACTCTTCCGGATTTCAGGAAGGCCAAACGCCTCTCCATGTGGCTGCGAGGCTTGGCCATGAGCGTATTGTCGACGTTCTTCTGATCAAAGGCGCGAAAGCTGAAGCACGTGACACTTGGGTTCGTAGGACGCAGTATGTTCACAGATTTTCCACATGGACAACGCATGCAATTTTTTTCTTCGCATGTATCAGGGCCAATGGACTGCTCTTCATCACGCCGTTTGGGGAGGTGGAACTGGAGCGGTAAAGCGTTTGCTGGACCATTCCGTTGACAAAGATGCACAGGACAAGGTTAGATTCGTTGTCTTTGAGTGCGATTTTTCCTGTGTCGTCAGTCACATTCACTCCTACTGCAGGAAGGTCAAACGCCTCTCCATCTCGGAGCAATGCTTGGACGTATCGTGGAAGTCATCATGCTGTTAGAATCTGGAGCCAATCATGATGCACGGGATCAGGTAATACTTGGCAGTCGTGAGACATTCCTTTCACTATTTACTGAAACGAGAAAATGCCATGCAGAAATTCTTTACTCCGCTGCACTGTGCAGCAGCATTCGGCACAGTTGAGCTTGCACAAGTTTTGCTGCAAAGAGGAGCTGACAAGACTGCCAAGACAAAGGTAAGATCCTTAAACCAGGACATCTCCAATAAAACCGATGTCAACCGAATCTCGTGCTGCAGGATGGGAAGACACCATTGCAAATAGCCGAGTCCAATAAGCGCCATGACGTTGTCCAAATGTTTAATCGTTATGGATCAAAACGCTCAAGTCAGGTATGTTGCAGTTCTGTTACTGAGGCGTCGTTGCCTGTGAACATGGTGGTTCCTGACATTGCCATATTTCAGGTAAATGCTGCTTCTATTCAAGGAACTATCAGTCAAGTGGAGATAATGAAGCGAGCTGAAAATTCTGTTGGCAAAGCATATGACGAGATTGCTGTTCGAGAAGCATCAGGCAGGATTGAAAAGCTTGAATTATCTCTACAAGAAGCACAGAAGAAGGCTGTAGCTGAAGAAAAGAGGAGACTTGAAGCTGAGGCGAAGTTCGTCACTGAGTCCAACAAGCGGAAGGAGGCCGAAGCGAGAGCCTTGGATGAGGAGAAAAAACGGAAGGACGCAGAGGCACGGAAGAGGGTTCTTGAAAAGCAAATGGCTGACGCTATGCACACAGCAAGTGAAGGGGAACAGCTGAGACAAGAGATGGAAAACCAGCTTGATTCTGAGAGGTCTTTCCGGATCAATGCTGAGAAGAAAGTTGTTGAACTTCAACGGAGGCTGGAGCTGGTGGAATGCCAGCTGCATGAGGCTGCACATTTGAGACGCATGGCAGAAGTCAAGGCGAAGGAAGAAGAAGAGAAGCGGCTGAAGCTTGAGGTAGCATTCAATGAGGTTGAGAAAGCGCATAAGGAGTACAATGTGAAGGTGAAGGGTGATCAGGAGGTTTTGAAGGGCATGACCCTGAAGCTTGAGGAGTCAGAAAATAAGCGGCTGGAGCTGGAGCAGAAGTTGAAAGAAGAAGCTGAAAAATGCCGCAAAATGGAGGCATTCAATCGCCAGGAACTGAAGCTTAGAAAGGAGGAGGAAAAAATGCGAAGAGATTTTCAGGCGAAGCTTCAGGAGGAAGGAAAGAAGCGGTCTCTGGCAGAGCTCAGAAGTGGAGATGAGGCAAAGAAACGGGCTCGAGCTGAGATTAAGGCTCTGGCGGAAGAGGGCAAGGTGCATGAGCTGGAGGCGAAGCTTGGTGACATGTTGGCCAAAAACAGGGAGCTGGAGAAGAAACTTGCTAATGCAGTTGACTGCCTTCGCAAGAATGATCTGCAGTGTGACAATGCGGGTGTGGTGGTTGGGGCGCGAGGATCAGAGAGACCGCAACAGATGAAGGATGCTGAAGCGACCGAGACAGTGAAGGAGGGTGAGAAAGAAAGCCTGAAAGCAGATTCCTTGGCTGCTGATGGCAATGGTGCAGCAGTGGCTGAAGATTTGTTGTCCCAGGAGACTGGAGTGAGCTCGCAATACGAAGAACTGCTGAGGCTGAGGGAGTTGGTGAAGGTACAGGAGCGTCAGCTAGATGAGTCCAAGGAGGTGATCAAGACTCTCATGTCTGCAGCTGAGATGGGAAGTTCAGTCAGGACATCTCGGGCTTCAAACGACCCTATCTCTCATGCAAGATTGTCTGCAGCAGAACCTCCTGCTGGATCCACATGTGAAGCTGATGAGGAAGAGGAAGGTGCAAAAGAGCCAGAGAATCAGCAGCAGCCCTTCAAATCGGATGTTGAAGCCTTGAGGGCTGAGAACGCCTCTCTTCAGTCTGCACTGCAGAATCTTTCTGCAAAGGTAAACTTTGCTGCCACTTCAAAATTTTGTGCATAAGCTTCTAACTGCATTCCACTTTTGCAGATCCTCGAACACTCTGATTGCAAGACTACGATTGAAGATCTCCATGCTGAGCGGAAGAATCTGGAAGAACAGCTGGCCTATGAGAAGAAGCTGCGAGAAGACCTATCTATCGAAGTTAAGGAAGCCAAACGTAAAAAAGAGGAGGCAGAGATAAAGGCTGCAGCTATGAAGGAATGTTTGGCAAAAGTTGAGGTTGGTGGACATTCTGCCACAGCATCTCCTAATGCCAGTCCAAGCAAAGCACCAACAATGCTGGAGAAGCTGAAGATGCGTACACCAAGAATGTTTGAAATTCCACACAAGTGAGCTTTGAGCGTGGTGGTGACAAGCGAAAATGCATCAAGGCTTGCAACAGGGAGATATGTTTCTGGTTTAGGTTCATTGTCTAATCGTATCACATCCAGTTTATGGGTTAGGCATAAATGATGCATCGTAGCAGTTTAGACTGAGCGTAGTGGTTTCAAAAGGATGGTGTTATAGGAACATGACTTAAACCAGACCTGTAGCTCAATAATCTTATTCAATTTGCAGCGACATAAACCTGATTTAACGTGATCATGGTTTTCCCTGACTCAACCTCTCTTGCACATGCTTCAAAGCTCGCCCAGCTGCCTCGTTCGCAGGAACCTTCTCTTCCACCACCAGCCGCTGGAACTCTTGTCGTACTGCCATAGCAAATTGCTCTCGCGGCTGCTGCTGCTGCTGCCGCTGCTGCCGCTGATGCAGTAACCACTGCTGATGGTGCCTTGATTGCTGAAGATGTTGGAATTACTTCATTATTGACCTCTTGACTTTTGCCGTCCACAATTCCTGTGCTTGTGGGTGCTTTCGCATAATCTGTCTGCAGAGGCTGCTGGCGTGCAGTGTAAAGGTCAAAGCAGGCAAGCTGAAGGCAGCTGCAGGACGGGTCTTGGACGGCTGAGATGACCAGCCTGCGAGACAAACAAGGGGAGCAAGGGGTATCACTTACATGAACTCTTGCGAATTTTACAATCGTCACTCTAAACCGGCTGTACAGTCAAGTTGCAAATTGATGCTTGCCATCTAACAAATGTAAAAGATTGTGAAATGCAGAATTACCTGATGGTACAGCTTGACATTGGGTCAAATTACGTGCCGACGCAAAAGTGAAACACGAGAGATATGCAACATGGTACTTGAATAATTTTGCTCTGGTACCTTAAGAGAGTCGCTGAGGCAAATCTGCACCTGAACAGAGTCGCTGTGGCAAAGCTGTACCTGAACAAAGTTGCTGGGGTTTGCTTGGCTGGGCTGATCGTAAATACTTTAGTCTGATGCCTGCTGCTGAAATGCACACCAGCCTGTGCATCCAGAACGCTCCAAGTCTTTCCGCCATCCTTGCTGGCTTGCAGCGACCTGATACAGTGTACGTAGTGCATGGGTGGAATGGTATGTTTCACAAGCATTGCACGGTATGACTTTTGAGACGACTCAAAAGTCATCTTGATGCAGTGTACGGAGTGCATGGGTGGAATGGTTGTTTCAAGACATCATGCATTGCACGGTGAGTCAATGAAGTGATGCATTTCTGGCACTTAAAAAAAAGGTTATTTGAAACGAATGTGCTTGTTCTTCACTACCATTCAAGAGCACATGTGAGACTCACCAGCAGCAGGGGTCCCTTTCTGGGCAATCATTTCCTGATGTGATTGAATACATGGTGATTGTAACAGGAGCAGAGTCACTGAGCCGATACTGTAGCCATGTACCTGAGGGGAGCGCCACCGGAACGATAAGAACGTCCACAAGGAGACAAGAACATTCGGAGTCGCTGTTGAGGTTTCTCATGAGTACTTCCAATAAGATCATTTACGGAAAGACAAGAAGGTAGGATGATGTTACGAGCTGGATGAATGAAGATCGAGATTGTACTCACAATGAAGCACATAAATGGCGAGGGATGTCATCAGATGGCACGGCATGGCATGGTGTGGCGGGCATGCCATGGCATGGCATAGCATGGTGGGCATGGCATGGTATGACAAGTCATGGAACATCATGGCACAGCATTTCACGGTGGCTCATAACAGCATACCTTTCCCTCCCTCATGATGCAGCCATTTAGTGTGCAGCGATGCATCGCATGCTGATATGGCCTGGGATGGAGGGCAAACGGATGGAGGGAGGGAAGCATGGGTGGGAGCGGCATATACAAGGGCAGTAGAGCCTTTCAACTGTCTTGCAATAAGGGCTCTTTCCAACAGCCATTGGGTGTGCAGCGATGCATCGCATGCTGATATGGCCTGGGACGGAGGGCAAACGGATGGAGGGATGTAACGCGAGAGCATTTATCGAGTTGAAACACACCGCAGCCACAAATACCCTTCTTACCTTCTCTCTGGATGCAAACTTCCCAGAAGCCCCAACCCAGTGAAACAAAGTATATTCTCCCATCCACAGCCACACCACACCCACCCCTCTCACCATCTCATTGGGTGCGTTCTCCCCATCAGAAGACACCCAGCCGCCACACACCCTCTCATGCTGCACCAACCCCTGCAGCCACACCGCACCTCCACCCCCTCACTCCCTACCACTACCAACCACACCACAAACCACACCACCCATCTGACCATCTCACCATCTCATTAGGAGGGTTCTCCCCATCTGCTGATACCCAACCGCCGCACACCCTCTCATGCTGCACCAACCCCTGCAGCCACACCGCATCTCCACCCCCACCACTCCCGGTCCGCATCTGCTCCAATGCCTGCTTGACACGTGGCAGCACCTCCTGTGCTGCTTGTAATCCCATAGCTGCCAGCACAGCCCTTTGTCCGTACCTCCATCCTCCCACCCCTGCTGCTCCCCCTTTCCCATTTCCACACGTCCCCTCTTCTCTTTGAGTTTCACACTCCTTCACCCCTATCACCCAACCTGTCCCCTCTCTCCCCTGAATCTCTTCCTCCCTCTCCTTCCAGATCTGAACCCCCATGGCAGTCAGGACGGATAGCAGGGGAGCTGCGGAGGAGATAGGACTCTCTTGTGTGTTGCTGCTGTTGCCGTGCTTGCTGCTGCTCTTTTGTTCGCTGCTATTATGCGAACTGCTCCCATCACTGCCACTTGCAGTGTCTGTGGCCACAACAGCAGCAGCAGTAGATCCACCAGCACCAGCAGCACCAGAAGCAGAAGTATTGGAAGCAGCAACAGCACCACCACTCGCACTGACCGTTGATGACGCTATTGCATTCAAGAGTATCTTGCGGAAGGGGTCACATCGTTTGTCGTTGAGGGGCACGGAGCGGGAGCGGAAGGGGAGCGAGCACAGAACGGAGAGCAGAGAGAGGAGAGGTTCTAAACATGTGCCTAGCGACTTTTGCGCCGCTGCTGCTGATGCTGCTTCATGACTTGGAGAGCCAATAACATCGCGACACATGTCCCCTACAGCAAGCAGCAGTGCTCCCACGTGCTCATCCACAATCCTCCTCTCCAGCCTCCCATCCTTCCCCTCTTTCCCCCTGTCCCCCCCATCACCCTCCCTATCCGACCCCAGTTCCCCCCTCGCTGCTCTCCACTCCACAGAACCGGTCTGCCTCCCTCCCAACACCACACCATCCCTCTCCCCTCCCTCCCCTCCCTCATCTCCTCCTCCCCTCCCTCCGCTCAGCTCCTCTTGCTCCCTCGCATCCCTCTCTTCCAACTGCTTCCTCTCATCCACACTAACCCCAGCTCGAGCCCTCCCTGTCACCGCTGCCACTGCCGCTGCTACAGCTGCCTCTGATGCTTCTGTCCGCCTGTGCTGGAGCTGTTTTGGAGGGTAAGGGTTAGGCGGTTGGGGGAAGGGAAGGGCAGGAGGGGACGAAGAAGGAAGGATGGTTGAGGAAAAAACCAACACGCAATGGCCTGGTATTACTGCTTGCTTCACATCCCTCCCCTCCCTCCGCTCAGCTCCTCTATCTCCCTCACATCCCTCTCCTCCAACCGCCTCCTCTCATCCCCACCAAGGCCCGCTCAAGCCCTCCCTGTCACCGCTGCCACTGCCGCTGCTACAGCTGCCTCTGATGCTTCTGTCCGCCTGTGCTGGAGCTGAATGGTGGAGAGGCAGAGAGATGGGTGGGTGTGGGAAGAGGAGGTGTGGGGGAAAAAGAGGGTGGGGGGGAGGGGAGGGGAGAGGAATGATGGTTGCGCACAGAAACAGAGCAATGACCACTAGCTTCACTCAGCTATCATCGTCACTGCCGCCTTCTCTCCTCCAACCGCCTCCTCTCATCCCCACCAAGGCTGGCTCGAGCCCTTGCTGTCACCGCTGCCACTGCTGCTGCTACAGCCGCCTCTGATGCTTCTGTCCGCCTGTGCTGGAGCTGATTGGGAGGGTGAAAACGGGGAAAGACGGGGAAAGGCGAAGGAGGGATGGTTGAACACAAAAGGCGCCCACTAGCGTCAGCCGTCGTTGCCACTGCTGCTGCTACAGCCGCCTCTGATGCTTCTGTCCGCCTGTGCTGGAGCTGATTGGGAAGTGGTTGGGTGTGGGGAGGAAGAGTAGAAGGATTGCTGTCACTGCTGCTGTCACGGCTGCCACTGCTGCTGCTACAGCCGCCTCTGATGCTTCTGTCCGCCTGTGCTGGAGCTGAATGGGAGGGTGAGGGTTTGGGCAGTGGGGGGATGGGAAGGGCAGGAGGGGACGAAGAAGGAAGGATGGTTGAGGGGAAAACCAACACGCAATGGCCTGCTGTTACTGCTTGCTTCACATCCCTTTTCTCCAACCGCCTCCTCTCGTTCCCACCAAGGCTGGCTCGAGCCCTTGCTGTCACCGCTGTCACTGCCGCTGCTACAGCCGCCTCTGATGCTTCTGTCCGCCTGTGCTGTAGCTGATTACAAGGGAGAGGGTTTGGGTGGGTGGAGGAAGGAACAGTGGGAGGAGGAAAGGCGAAGAAGGACAGTTGAGGATAAAAAGTGAGCAACGTTCAATAATACTACTAGCTTCAGCTACCGTTGCCACTGCTGCTGTCACCGCCACTGTTACAACTGCCTCTGATGCATCTGTCCGGCTGTGCTGGAGCTGAGCTGATTGATTGGGAAAAGAGAGTTGGATGGTAGGGTGAAGATGAAGGATGCGTTATGGGAGGGAGGCGAGTCTGTTTTTAATTATTTTCAAAAAACAGAGTCTTGTGAAGAGGAAGGATGCGTTATAAGAGGGGGGCGAGGAGAAGGAAGGATAGCTGAGCTGAGCTCAAATGGAATTGAGTCGACTCAAAACACGTGTTTTGGGTCGACCCAAAAGCTGTTCCATCGCATGTGATGTGCCGGTGATGTGTCAAGATCCCTCGCTGACTTGTGAGTCGTGACCAGTGACAGTGACCTACCTCGCTCCATTTCTGTGTGTATCTTCGAACGACGTCAGCCACTCCATCCCTCCCCACTCCGAACACGTATGTCAGCTTCTTGCCCCACCTGCTCGCCCAGGCACAATGCAAGAGAAGTGAAGGAGAGAGGGCACGCAGAAATAAGGTGACTTTCGAGTCGCTTCAAAAACGTCAGCTTTCTTGCCCCACCTGCTCGCCCATGCACAATCAGAGAAGGGTGAGAGAGAGTGCAAGCAGCAAGGGTGCCCTTGGGGTCGACTCAAAGTCACACGTATGTCAGCTTCTTGCCCCACCTGCTCGCCTAGGCACAGTAAACGATTTTTTTTTTTTTTTTTCAAAAAAAAAGCAACAGCATTTAATCACCTTCAATCACCCATTGCAGGTGCTATATGCAGTGCTGCATGCGTGCATCCATAGCAAACTGTGTCTGCAAACAGCACCGAGACTGGAAGCGACAAATGGGTGCAAACAACCCATTCTTTTACCTTCATCGCATGGTTTGATAAACCATTGGCTGACAGCCAGTCAGTCAGACCTACAAGCACGGATGCCATACAGCTGTCAAAATGATTTCCTTCCATGTGAGTGCATTCTTCCCCAATTTCAAGGATCTGTGGCGCAATGGTAGCGCGTCTGACTCCAGATCAGAAGGTTGCGTGTTCGATTCACGTTAGGTTCAAAGCCTGCATTTTCCTCCCAACGGTTTTTTTTTTCTCTCCAAGCCTTGAGCCGTGTCGACCAGGTTTGCGTCGTGTGTTCATGCACTGTAATGCACTTGTCTACATCGCGGCACTGTGACATGCGGTTCTCTTTTCATGAGACGAGGTCATGGCACTGTAATGGCTGGAACCAGGTCAGCCTCGGAAACTCTTCTGGTCCACGAGTCTGGACCAATGCAAGCCACGAGGAGACTTTTGAGTCGACTCAAAACAAGGTGACTTTTGAGTCGACTCAAAAGTCACTTGGTCAGCCTCAAAAACTATTCTGGTCCAGGAGTCTGGACCGATGCAAGCCACAGATGTTACCACTCGTTTCAAGAACCCGGGCTCATATTCAGCTTTCCACGATGATAGTCGGACCCTGGGCGAGAGGACGAGGGTGGCGACTTTTGAGGCGCCTCAAAACTGGACCAATGCAATGCAAGCCACGGAAGTTACCACCCGTTACAAGAACCCGGGCTCACATTCAGTTTTCCATGATGATAGGCGGACCCTGGCGAGAGATGACTTTTGAGTCGACTCAAAAGCTGACTTTTGACTCGTTACAAGAACCCGGGCTCAAATTCAGTTCTTCACGATGATAGTTTTGGGGCGTCTCAGAACTACATTTTGAGACGTCTCAAAACTCCAAGTTACCACTCGCTACAAGAGCCCACTTTCTCGTTCCGTTTTCCATGATGAAAGTTTTGTGGCGTCTCAGAACTCCATTTTGAGACGTCTCAAGACTCGAAGTTACCACTCGTTACAAGAACCCACTTTCTCGTTCCGTTTTCCATGATGATAGTTTTGAGTCGTCTCAGAACTCCATTTTGAGACGTCTCAAAACTCAAAGTTACCACTCGTTACAAGAGCCCAGGCTCACATTCATCTTTCCACGATGATAGGCAGAAACTGGCGAGAGGACGAGGGGGGGCGAATCCACCGGCCATTTCGTGCGACGTTCTTTATTTAACAGAAAGATATGCGAACGAAGTCTACTTTTGAGGCGCCTCAAAAGGACATGCGCACGAAGTCGCCCTACCTCGCTTTCGCCCAATCGCATTGCACCATGGTTAAATCACAAATGGTGGTTACCCTTGCCGTGCCCAGGAATTCATACCAAGCGGCAAACCTCTCCACAAAACCATCTCCACCTAGCACTAGCCATTCCCATCCCACTCAACTGCACCATGCAACCACTCCCCACCCACCCTTTCTCGTAGAGCAGAGGCGTGTCAAAGGCTGCTTCACACGGGTCCAGATGCATCCACCTGCAGGGAAAAGGGGTAGGGGGAACGTGGGGGGTTTGGGGTGGAAAGGAAGGGTGATTAAGCACACACCCTACATGATTCTGCGCCATCCCACTCCCCGCCCATCCTCGCTCGTAGAGCAGTGGCGTGTCAAAGGCTGCTTCACACGGGTCCAGATGCATCCACCTGCACGGGAGGGGGAAACGGAGGGCAGCAGTGTGTGAAATAGCGTGTCTAAAATGGCATCTCAGAAGAGGCGTGTCAAAGGCTGCTTCACACGGGTCCAGATGCATCCACCTGAAAAGGGGGGGTTGTGAAGGGATGGCAACGAAAGTGTGAAATGGTGTGTCCACGCCTCGAACATGGCGTGTCAAAGGCTGCTTCACACGGGTCCACATGCATCCAGTGGATGGAGAGAGGAAGGGGTGGGGAAGGGTAACTGAAGGCGTGCGTGGGAATGCACACACACAATGCCAACCATATATTCACTCCCAGTCCACCCTTGCTCATAAAGCAGAGGCGTGTCAAAGGCTGCTTCACACGGGTCCAGATGCATCCACCTGCGCGGGGGGGGAAGGCCGGGGGTGGGAGGAAGGTGTGAGAATGCAAGCATCAAAAGCAGAGGAGAGTGATTTGCTGGTCATAGAGCAGAGGCGTGTCAAAAGCTGCTTCACACGGGTCCAGATGCATCCACCTGCATGAGGGGGAAACGGAGGACAGCAGTGTGCGAAATAGCGTGTCTAAAATGGCACCTCAGAAGAGGCGTGTCAAAGGCTGCTTCACACGGGTCCAGATGCATCCACCTGCACGGGGGGGGAAGGCCGGGGGTGGGAGGAAGGTGCGAAAATGCTAGCATCGAAAGCAGAGGAGAGTGATTTGCTGGTCATAGAGCAGAGGTGTGTCAAAAGCTGCTTCACACGGGACCAGTTGCATCCACCTGCACGGGGGGGGGACCAGGGGAGAGGAAGGCAAGGCAAGGCAAGTTGATGGGTCATAGTAGAAATTTAGTAGGTGCATCTGATAGGTAGGTGTGCTATTTTGATCCACAGCAGCATGGTCCACCAGACATCTTTCGAGGCGGCTCAAAAGACACACCGACGACCCCCAACCTGGTCCAACAGGCACCACACAAAAGCCACTCTGCAGAGGAATCCTTATCACGACGACCAACATAGCATGCACCTCTGCTTGGCGTAAGATTGGCACTCACTCCACACGTGGTCTGTCCAATCCACTCCCTGCCACTGTCGCCATTCCCGTATCCCCACCCACCCATCCTTGCCCGTCACTGAAGCCCCATAACACGCACCTCTGCTCGGAATGTGAGCAGCACTCCGTCCACACATGGTCCGTCCAATCCACTGCCTGTGGGCATCACATGCACACACACCCACAATGCCATACAAGCCCCCTCAGAGAACTCTCAAACGCACCTCTGCTTGGCATACGAGTAGCACTCAGTCCACACATGGTCCGTCCAATCCACTGCCTGTGGATATCACATGCACATGCACATGCACATGCGCATACACATGCGCATGCACATGCACATGCGCATGCACATGCACATGCACATGCACATGCACATGCACATGCACATGCACATGCACATGCACATGCACATGCACACACACATGCACATGCACATGCACATGCAGGCATGCAGATGTGCAAACATGCACGTGTTCCATCCACGATCCATCCATGGATCATGGATGCATACATGCACATGTGCACAAACATGAATATTATTTAATGAAGACATATGATTCTTTCCAGGACTACATTGAGCAGTGCAGAGCTACACCATCAGCTAGCATAGCCACAGTTACTATCAACTTATCCATTCTGTTCAGTTCAGAGACCTGCCTGGCATCACTACAGTCACACTTGCCTCGCATCGCTATAGTCACACCTGCCTGGCATTGCTATAATCACAACTGCCCCGCATCTCTATTGTCACACCACACACACCTGCCTGGCATCATAGCCCAGAGCCCGGCAGCAGACGTTGCTTTTGAAAAGTTTCGACAGTGTGACACATGGATGGCATCGCTATAGTCACATCACACACACACCTGCCTAGCATCGCTCTGGTCACATCACATCACATCACACACACCTGCCTGGCATCATAGCCCAGAGCCCGGCAGCAGAGAGTGAAGGCGTTGCTTTTCAAAAGTGACCTCGCTATAGCCTCGTCCCTATAGTCACATCACACACACCTGCCTGGCATCATAGCCCAGAGCCCGGCAGCAGAGAGTGAAGGCGTTGGCCCACTCGCCACAGCGACCCTCCCTCGTGTCCAGGAGCTGTGTGGTGTGGAGGGAGGGAGGGAAGAGAAGGTAGGATGAAAAGGAAAATGGCAACCAAGTCAGCCCTGTCAACAAGCGGAAGGGAGAAGGAAAAAGAGGGGCAACTATGGGTGGGTGGGACAGCTCAGCCCTGCCGGCAGCAGAGAGTGAAGGCGTTGGCCCACTCGCCACAGCGTCCCTCCCTCGTGTCCAGGAGCTTTATGGCGGAGGAAGGGGAGGGAAGGGGGTTTGGAGGTGAAAAGAACACAGACGGCGACGTGGGTGGGATAGGTCAGCGCTGTCCATAACAAAGCACATGGTGAAGGCGTTGGCCCACTCGCCATAGCGGCCCATACCTTGGCAGGATCGTTGTACCGCACAAAGCGAGCCACCGTGCCGCACTGCTTGCACCTGCGAGCGACACCCGCAGACACGACAAGCACATACCCAGAGCCAGAGACAGAGAGGGGGTAGAGGGAGAAGGGAACATTGAATGGGAGGGGGGTGGAGGGGAGGCAGAAGCTAAGGACACACCTGACAGTGACACCCCCACCCACCCCCACCCACCCCCACTCATCCCCACCCACCCCCAACCACCCCCAACCACCCCCACCAATCCCCCCACCCACCTCCACCCACGCCGACCACATGCGCACCCATACGAGAGAGAGAGAGAGAGAGAGAGAGAGAGAGAGAGAGAGAGAGAGAGAGAGAGAGAGAGAGAGAGAGAGAGAGAGAGAGAGAGAGAGAGAGAGAGAGAGAGAGACTTGGAGGTGCTGCCAGCAGACACTTGGTCGGCGTGGGGGGAGCAGCTGCTACACACTTACCTGACAGCAGCACACACGGCGATTCCCCGGGACGAGGCGGAGCGAGGGAGAATCTGGCGGCAGGCTGCCCTGCCCGTGACACTGGGCGGCCTCGGCATCACCAACCCAGCCACGGAAGGAGTGTTCGCATACCTGGCCTCGGTCATTTCATCCGACCACCTGCTGCGCTCGTTCGGTGACACTTTGCACCCTGCAGTCGCCCAGCTGCTGCCGCTGATGGATGCAGCCGCCGACTTACCTTCAGCCCTGCCAAGGCGCCTTGCAGCGGCAGAGGCCACGCTGCCCCCAGATGGACTAGAGGCGCTACAAGCCGGTCGACGCGGGACCGATGGCCTGAAGCTACAGCAGGCCTTGTCGCTGGCCGTTCACACCGCTCGCTACATCGAGGTGCTCGATGCCTCGCGGGAGATGCCGCTGAATCCACTCTTCGGCCACACGCAACGCCTGCAGTCACTCCTCGGCCCCGGGGCGGGAGACTGGCTGCTAGCCATCCCCCTGATCCCGGCTCTTCGCCTGGGCCCCTCGCAGCACTCCACTGCTTCCTCCTTCCGCCTAGGCCTCCCCCTCCCTGTCCCTCGGCGCTGCGACTGCCGACACCGCACGACCTTCCCGGACCACCGGCTTCCCAACCACCTAATGCGTTGTGAGAAGGGCGGAGGGAGGATTGCCACTCACCATGCCCTTCGGGACGAGTGTGCGAAGATCGCAGCAGAGGCGGGCTACACGGTGCACAAGGAATCTACAATCTACTCACCGGTCGAAAACCTGAAAGCGGATGTTTGCATCCGCCATCCCGACACCGGCGAGGTCCACATGTGCGACATCACCGTGACGGACCCGGTCTCCCACCAGGACGAGTTTGCACGTAAGGCACCGGGGTGGGGTGCTAGGATGGAAGCCGCGAAAAAGGAGGACAAGTACGCACGGCGGAACGCGTGGGTAGGCTTCCACGCCATGGCGGTCGAGACCTACGGTTACCTCTCCCCGGGAGTCCATGACTTCCTTCGCAGCTGCGCCGAGCTCGCGGGCAAACGGCGGTTCAACGCTGCGCCGAAGTCCAGGGAGGTGGCCAGGCTCCTCACGGAGTACAGGCAGCGCTGGAGCGTCACACTCCAGCGCGCCCAGGCCAATGCCCTCCGCGACAAGACCCATGAGGCCTTCGCCGCGGATGAGCTCGGCCTGCAGGGCCCGTTTGGCAGCCTGGGGGAGGAGCAGCTGAACCAGCTGCTGGAAGACCCCACCGGCCAGTAGGGTCGTGGGGAGGAGGGGTGGGAGATGAAGTCGTTGTAGTGCTTACCTGTTTGTTGCTTGTTGGGTCATGTTTGTTTGTTTGTTTAGATTAGCTTAAGCTTAAGTGCCCCTGTGTGTTTTGCCTTGCTGATCAATACGAAGGACCACTCGAGAGATGGATCACAAGCGCGTTTTAACGTCTCAAACGTCACTCACACCCACCCACACCCACTCACACCCACCCACCCACTCCCATGAAGTACACACCCAGAGTCAGAGACACAGACAAAAGCGCAAGTGAGGGAAGGGAAGGTTCAATGGGAAGGGGTGGGTACGTCCGCCTAGCACAGGGGGCACAGAGGGCACAGAGGACACAGAGGGCACAGAGGACACAGAGGGCACAGAGGACACAGAGGGCACAGAGGACACAGAGGACACAGAGGACACAGAGGGCACAGAGGACACAGAGGGCACAGAGGACACAGAGGACACAGAGGACACAGAGGACACAGAGGACACAGAGGGCACAGAGGACACAGAGGGCACAGAGGACACAGAGGACACAGAGGACACAGAGGACACAGAGGACACAGAGGGCACAGAGGACACAGAGGGCACAGAGGACACAGAGGGAAGTCGTGCATATTCATCCCATCCCTCTCAAATCCCTCCTCTCCCCTCCCCGTCCCCTCTTTCCCCCCTCCACCTTCACCTGTGCAGCTCCAATCCACCCGCTGTCCCCCTCACAGCAGGTCATGAATGGAAGGCACAGGTGGGTGTGGATGTGGCAGGGGCAGAAACCCTCTCACTCCATCCTCTATGCCTCACACTCCCACCTCTCCTGCCCTCCCCATCACCCCCCTCCCCCTCCCCCCTCACCTGTGCAAAGCTCCACTCCACCCGCTGTTCCCCCCACCGCAGATCATCAGAGGATGGTGTGCTGTTGCCATGGAAGGCACAGGTGGGGGTGAATGAGTGGCAGCAGGAGCATTCCTCTCATTCAAGACTGAGCCTGACGCACACCATCCCCTCCCCCCCTCACCTGTGCAGCTCCACGCGGTTTCCCCCCCACAGCAGGTCGTCAGAAGAAGGCGTGCCGTTGCCGTGGAAGGCACAGGTGGGGGTGAATGGCATCAGAGCACTCCTCTTTTCCCTAACTTCTTCCCCTCCTCCCCCCCTTCACCTGTGCAGCTCCACGCGGTTTCCCCCCCACTGCAGGTCATCTGCGGAAGGAGTGCCGTTGCCGTGGAAGGCACAGGTGGGTGAGGGTGCAACAGCGGGAGCACTCCTTTCTCTCTCTCGAAACCATGCGTGACACAATCCCTCACCCCTTCTCCTGGGATCACCTTGTAGCTATACCCGCTGTCCTCCCCACTGCAGGTCGTCGCTTGAAGGAGTGCCGTTGCCGTGGAAGGCACAGGTGGGGGGGGTGCGGCAGTGGGAGCAGTCCTCTCACTTGAGAAACCATACCTGACACAATCCCTCCCCCCTTCCTCCTGGGCTCACCTGTGTAGCACTACCCGCTCACCCCCCCACTGCAGGTCTGCGGAAGGAGTGCCGTTGCCGTGGAGTGCCACGTGGGGGGGGTGCGGCAGCGGGAGCACTCCTCTCACTTGAGAAACTATGCCTGACACAAACCCACTCCCTTCCCGCCCCTCACCTGTGCAGCTCCACGCGGTTTCCCCCATTGCACATCGTCAGAGGAAGGCGTGCCGCTGCCGTGGAAAGCACAGGTGGGGGTGAATGGCATCAGAGCACTCCTCTTTTCCCTAACTTCACCCCCTCTTCCCTGCCCTCACCTGTGCAGCTCCACCCGCTCTCCCCCCCACAGCAGGTCGTCAGAGGAAGGCGTGCCGCTGCCATGGAAGGCACAGGTGGGGGAGCAGCAGTGAGGGAACTCTTCTCACTCGGACGTATGCCTCACACGCCCCCCTCCCTCCCCCCTTCCTCCCCTCGCCTGTGCAGCTCCATGCGCTCCTCCCTCGTCAGAGGAAGGCGTGCAACCATGCCTGACACCCACCCCCATCCCTCTCCCCCCTCTTCTCCCTTTCCCGCACCTGTGCAGCTCGACACGGTTTCCCCCCCATTGCAAGTCCTCATTCGAAGGCGTGCCGTTGCTGTGGAAGGCACAGGTGGGGGTGCGGCAGCGGGGGCATGGCGGGGAGTCCACCCATCTGCAAGGAGCAGGGAGACGAGGAAAAGGAAAGTCGAGGTTATGGTGAAGGTGCTGGTGAGGAGGGGGTCGGAAAAGGAAAATGGTAGAATGATGGTGAAGGGGAGGGGTGAGGGGGATGGATGGTTAATTAAGACAAGGGCGTCCCTGGCAAAAGAATCATGGACCTTGCCAAATGGACCTCCTTTGATCTGAGTCAGGTGAAACTGCAACAAAAGAATCGTCTAATCCGGCACGACAATCACCTGAACCGAATTGCCATCACCTGAACTGCATTGCCATCACCTGAACTGCATTGCCATCACCTGAACTGCATTGCCATCACCTGAACTGCATTGACCTGAACTGCATTGCAATCACCTGAACCGCGCTGCAATCACCTGAACCGCGCTGCAATCACCTGAACCGCGCTGCAATCACCTGAACCGCGCTGCAATCACCTGAACCAGGACTTGAACCAAACCAGCAGCTGCCTCAACAGAGCGTCACGAAACTCTCCCTCTGACGGCTGGTACTGGCCTTGCTGCGATGGGGACGGGATGGTGACGGTGACAAGGAAAAAGAAGGGAAAAGACTAAGGTATGGTAGGTCTGTGGTGCGGTAGGCTGTGGTGTGGTAGGCTGTGGTGCAGTAGGCTGTGGTGCGGTAGGCTGTGGTGCGGTAGGCTGTGATGCGGTAGGCTGTGGTGCGGTAGGCTGTGGTGCGGTAGGCTGTGGTGCGGTAGGCTGTGATGCGGTAGGCTGTGGTGCGGTAGGCTGTGGTGCGGTAGGCTGTGGTGCGGTAGGCTGTGGTGCGGTAGGCTGTGATGTGGTAGGCTGTGGTGCGGTAGGCTGTGGTGCGGTAGGTTGTGATGTGGTAGGCTGTGGTGCGGTAGGCTGTGGTGCGGTAGGCTGTGATGTGGTAGGCTGTGGTGCGGTAGGCTGTGGTGCGGTAGGCTGTGGTGCGGTAGGCTGTGGTGCGGTAGGTTGTGGAGTGCCAGTCGCACGGGCAGAGGGTGCTTCCAAGCCATTCATCCTCTTCGTACTCACACCCGCTGCCATCTTACACCCAGCAGCAGAACACTGTTTTACAAAATTAGCAGATTTCTTGCCAGTTCATACATGGCATTTGGTAGGATGAAGACAAAGGAGATTTTTGAGTCGACTCAAAAGTCACCTTTAGTCGACTCAGAAGTCATTTCTTGCCAGTTCATCTATGGAAACTGGTAGGATGAAGACAAAGGACCGTAGCATAGCACAGCATAGCATAGCACGATACAGCACGGCATAGAATGGCACAGAATGGCACAAAACGGCACACAGCACAGGACAGGATAGGACAGGACACAACAACATTGGAAAGGGTGACTCAACCCAACCGACCCGGCCCGACCCAACCTGACCCGGCCCGACCCAACCCAACCCGGCCCGACCCAACCCAACCCGACCCGACCCGGCCCGACCCGCCCCGGCCCGACCCGGCCCGACCCTACAAGGATTTACCACCCATGCCTACTGCAGCTGCCTCCTCCAGCTGCTGCAGGGGAATGGAATGAGCGAGGTCCCCGCGCAACCCGACCCGACCGGTCCCGACCCCGACTTATGACCATGCCCCTGCCCCATGCCTACTGAGGCAAACCTGACCTTGGCAAGGGAGACAGCAGCGGCCTCCTCTAGCTGCTGCAGGGGAATGAGCGAGCGCGCCTTGGCCTGGCGTGATGGGTCCTCGTACTGATGGGGTTGAGTGTGGTTGGGATGAGAGAAGAGGAGGGCAAATGTAGGGACCTTTGAGTCATCTCAGAAGTCACCTCTGCTGCATTGGAATGACCGAGCGCGCCTTGGCCTGGCGAGATGGGTCCTCGTACTGGTGGGCGTGCCGTGTAGCGTGGGAGGGGGGTGAGAGAACAAGAGGTGGATGAAGGGACTTTTGAGTCATCTAAGAAGTCACCTCTGCTGCAGGGGAATGAGAGAGTGCGCCTTGGCCTGGCGGGATGGATTCTCGTAGTGATGGGGATGTGGAGTGTGGAGAGGAAGGGGGATGAAGATACGCAAGGGGGCAGCAGGAGAAAAGGTGAAGGATTGTTGATCAAGACATCCACGGGAACGAGTACAGCGTCTATTAGCACAGGGATTAATGCACAGGGATTAATGGTCAACATTTGCAGAAATTGCAGCCCAAAATAGCACGCCGCACTGCACCACATTGCACCACACCACTCTGCATGAGATTGCTTTAGAGTGGCAGCAATCGCCCCACTAATGCCGCCAGACCTGACTTGCTCGTCTCACTCACAAACAACACCTGGTGCTGCACCACATGGCACCGCATGGCACCGCACTCCACTGCACTCACTCACCTGCATGACATTGCTCCAGAGCGACAGCAGCAGTCGCCTCTCCAACGCCGCCTGACCGTTCCCTTCCCACCACACCAGCCACCCCTTGCTCGTCTCATACACACACCATTCGACGCACGCATGGCACCGCACAATACCGATCTGCACTGCACTGCACCGCGCTCACCTGCATGACATTGCTCCAGAGCGACAGCAGTCGTCCCTCCAACGCCGCCTGACCATGTCCCCCACCCACTCCCCCTTCCTTGTCTCACAACACCAGGTGATGCACCGTATGGCACCGTATTGCACCGTATGGCACCATATGGCACTGTATTGCACCGTATGGCACCATAAGAAACTGCAGCGCAGCACACTGCACTCACCTGCATGACATTTGTCCACAGAGACAGCAGCCGCTCCTCCAATGCCGCCTGACCGTGCTGCTGCCCCCTCAGCTGCCCCCCTCTCAGTTGCAGCTGCTGCAGCATGGCCTGCATGTCATGTGCCTCTGACTGCTGTATCTGCTGCGCCAATGCTGCACCACATGCCACCCCACTGCTCTGCTCCACACCGCACTCACCTGCATGACATTGCTCCACAGCGACAGCAGTCGCTCCTGCAATGCTGCCTGACCGTGCTGCTGCCCCCCACTCAGCTGCTGCCCCCCTCTCAGTTGCAGCTGCTGCAGCATGGCCTGCATGGCATGTGCCTCTGACTGCTGAATCTGCTGTGCCAACGCTGCATCCTCCTCCTCCTGCTCTTGTGCCAATACATGCCATGACAACATGACGCACCATGATGTGATGTGACATGCCATGACCATGACGAGACATGCCATGACCATGACGTGACATGCCATGACCATGACGTGACATGCCAACACAAGATGATGCACCATGACGTGATGTGACATGCGACGTGACATGCCATGACCATGCCACACCGTGCCGTGTGATACGACAAAAGAGCAAGGAGGAATGTGCTAAACACGATGGGGGACATGACGGGGGTTTGGCATGGCACAACCCATGTTACTACGTGAAGGCACCAGCAGCCGATACCATTGTCCTCCCTGCCTCTCTCGCCCTCACCCTCACCACCCTCCTTCCCCTCCGCTCCCTTTCCCCTCTTCTCTCCCTCTGCTCTCTCCCCCTCCTCCATACATCCATCCATACATGCTACATATCTGCAGTCGCCTTGCAAGCTCCGCATCGTCCTCTCTGCTGCTCTTCCCTTTACGCCCCTCCTCTACCCCTGCCTACTCCCCCCCTTTCTCTCCCTCCGCTCTCTCCCCCGCCTCCATACATGCATACGTCCCACATACCTGCAGTCGCCTTGCAAGCTCCGCATCGTCCTCTCTGCTGCTCTCCCCTTCCCAACCCTTAGAGCTCGCAAGGCGCCAATAGAGCATGCAGGAGTGCTGATACAAAGAAACATACACACATGCTACATACCTGCAGTCGCCTTGCAAATTCCTCGTCGTCCTCTCTGCTACTCTCCCCTTTACGACCTGCCTCTTCCCCCTCGCCCTCCGCCCCCTTCTCCCCCGTCTCCCCTTGCACCACCCCATTCCCCCTATCGTGCAGCACCAGCACCGCGCCACTAGCCGGCAGGAGGGAGGCCAAATCAGCATGCGGCGAGGAGAGGTCAACGGAGGGGTTGGAGGACAAGGAGAGCTGCAAGGGGGCCGGGAGAAAGCAGTAAGAAGAGATGTTTTTTAGGTGACTCACAAACAAACCGGCACGCGGCGAGGAGGGTCAAGGAACGGACCGGATGGCAGGCAGGGAGGGCTGCGATGCGAGCAGGCAGGGAGGGCTGCGATGCGAGCAGGCAGGGAGGGCCGCAATGCGAGCAGGCAGGGAGGGCTGCGATGCGAGCAGGCAGGGAGGGCTGCAATGCGAGCAGGCAGGGAGGGCTGCGATGCGAGCAGGCAGGGAGGGCTGCAATGCGAGCAGGCAGGGAGGGCTGCAATGCGAGCAGGCAGGGAGGGCCGCGATGCGAGCAGGCAGGGAGGGCTGGCTCGGTTCACAGTGGACGTACCGATTGGTTCTCCGGCTCGATTCCTGTGAGCGAGAAGATCTGAATCTGCAGCACCTGCATGTGGATGGACGGCCAGGGATGGACGGCCAGGGATGGACGGCCAGGGATGGACGGCCAGGGATGAGGGCCAGGGAAGGGAAGAATCGGGAGGAAGGGGAGTGAGGGGGGGTGGGAAATGCAGCTTGGCACGATTCGCAGCAGGCAAGGGTAGGTAGGTCCAAAACAGTGGAAGTGAGGATAGATGGCTGTGCTGATTCTTGAGGTGCCTCAAAATCAGAGGGAGTGAGGACGAGTTGAGTTGGTTGAAGAATGCATGAGAACAGGAGGAGATTACTCCAGTGCCAACCCACCCGTTCTCCCTCCCGCTGGTGTATCATTTCTTGAGGTGCCTCAAAATAAACTCGCCCTCTCTCGTCCCACCTTCCGGGAAACGAACAGGTCCAGCCCTCTCTCGACTCTGTCCTGTACAGAACCACCCACCCGTCCCCCTTGTCGTGTATCTAGGTGACTTTCAGTTAACGCAATAGTTGAAATCTCTCATCCCATCCCCCGCGAACAGGAACAGCACAATCTCGACTCTGTCCTGTACCCACCCACACATCCCTCCTGCGGTGTATCTAAGACGGTGCTTGCTCTCTGTTCCCTGCATGCTCGGCCCATCCTCGCATCCCTATCCCCCCATCCAAACTCTTTCCCATCCCCCTTCTCCGATCCATGCTTCCACCGTCCCTACTTCCGCCGTCCCTACTTCCGCCGTCCCTACTTCCGCCGTCCCTCCTATCCCGTCCCTCCTGTCCCGTCCCACTTTCTCACATCAACCCCAACGCCTCACCTCCACGCCCATGTCGACCTCCACTTCCATTTCAAACCGCTCCTCGCCGAACACCACCGTAACCTCTCGCGCCGCCATCGCGGATAGCGTAAACACCCGCCGCGCTGAACGGGCCACGTGGCGCACCCGTAACTTCGGAGAGGCTACAGATCTCGACAAGTGGCGCGCGACCGACCGCTGCCTGAGTGCTGCGATCGACACGGAGGAAGGGCCGACACGTGGTTTCAGTAGATTTGAGTGGAACTTCGTGCAATCGAAACCCCGCACTCCTAACACGTTGTTCTCTTAAAAAAGTCGGTACCCAGGCTGCGTCAACGTGGTGAGAGAGAGTGAGTGGAGGAGCGCGAGGCAGGTCCCTGGAGAGACCAATCGCCTCGAGTTGATATAGCATGCGGTACCCTGCCTTTCCGATGCCGGCTGCTAGTCACGGTGATCGATAATAAAGACAAGTTGATGATGCGTCCCGTCGTCACGACACTTCACCGACTGTTATTCTTCCTACCTTGTTTGAACTGTAAGCTCCCTCACTGAACTGATCGGTGGTGATTTATTACGCTCTACCTCACTCTCCACTCTTCACCACGAGCAAGTCCGAATCAGGACTTGGGTCTGATGAAGGGAAGGCGTATTCCTGCAGAGACTTTCGACCATCTGAAGGTTTTCTGTGTGTGAGCAGCACTGTACGACACGATCTGTGCTTCCTCAAACGGAACGAAGCCCAGGACGAATGTAACTGTACCCGCATTGAAAAGGAGAAGCAACATTCCTGGTCCGACTGGGCGTGGATGACCAACATTCCTGATCCCAGCCCAGCCGCGACCCTACGAAGAATCGTTTTCTAGCCGGGACAAAAAGGGAAAAGCCGAGGGTTTCGGATAAGGACCGCACTAGAAATTATCATAGCTACTTTCAACCGCGCCAAAAAACGAACCTGCCAACCGAGGACACGGATGAGTTTTGTATGCACGTCGCTCCGGAAATCTTCGCTCTCGCTAGTTACATGCGCAAGAATTATTTCGTCAAGAGAACAAGCCACATTGTGAGATTGTTTGCGTCGGCTTGAGTTCGGCCCCTGGGATTGTCGAGCCACTTTCTGTCAGTATGTGAATTTCGCGCCAAAACTGACCAAACCTTTCCAACGTCTCCCTGAAGCCAAACCAAAGCAGACCACACCACACCAAACCAACCGAGCCGAACCCAAGCAACCAAGCAAAGCTCTTCATTTCCAACCAAAATTCTTGCTGGTTGGCCTCGTCCTACCAAAATTCCTTGCTCACTCTTCACACTGCATTTGCTGTAGTTCAACCACTCAGCAGTCAGCCATAATCAATCCTGTGAGTCCTGAGTCTTCTCTACGTCAATGGTACCAGCAAAGCGGCGCTGTCACTAAAACTCACAGCTTTGTCTTTATTACTGTGTTTCCCTTACCACGCTCCTGCAATGCTGTTGATTTGCGACAGCTGCTGTGCCAGGTCAGACATTTGCAATTATACATTGTTTCTTAATCAGAGCGAGAGATACTAAGAACGCGTCACTGGCATTCCGCGATCTCAACGTTCTTCTCTGAAGCGTCGAAAAAGGTAGCCTCGAGGCAAGCATGGTGGAATTAACAGTTCTCAGCGAAAGTTCTGCACGAAAACCTGTTCTTGCATCAGTTTTCAAGACACTACTTACGACAATCGTTTACAGAGCTGTAGGCTCGCGATAGCGCGTGTAAAAATAGGCGGAGAAGTCTCAAGATGTAGCATTGTCAACATGCATTCGTGACGGAACCAGAAACAAGGTAATGTGGACCACTGGAATCAAGTCGAAGTTCCTAATCGATAGGCACTTCCTCGAGTATTGCCTGCACTTCTCTGTTCAAGGTTAGATTTAAAAACCTAGCTTATTCAGAATCAGGAAACTTTAACCGATAGGCACTTATTCAAGTTTTGTCTGCTTTTGTCGCACATGGCGGTCGAGGTAAAATTTCGAATCCCAAGTGATTTGTTGCGATGCGCATCAGACGGCATTAGAGATAACGACAGTAGCACAGAGGTTTGGAGTCATAGTGACGTCATCACCGGTAGTGACGTCATCAAAGGAAGCCACGACAGCTCTTTTGAAAACGACTCGTCCGCATCATCCCACACTGTCGTCACCCTTACGGTTTCCCCTAAGGAACTTCTTGGGTCAGTCTTCAACAGATTGTTTCAGACTCATCTGCCGCACTGCTGCTTACCATCATCACAAAAATCCTGCGTCCAGAAAGCCGTTGAAAAGAGTTGCTTTGGAGCTTTGTCGAATGATTTATAAACTTAGTGTTTCGAACGCATTTTTGAGAAAGTATAGTGCGCTTTCCAAATGCTTTGTCGAATGCTTTTCAAATGCTTCTGCAATGCTTCTCTATTCAAAGCTGCATCTTGAATACCTTCAACTGAAGTTTAGTAAGAGTCTTCCCGAAGTGATTTTGGAGATTAGATCTCATTGCATTTTACTCTTTAGTGAGTTTGTATATTGAATTCATACTGCTTATAATTGGACATTCCACAAACGTTATTAATTTATACAATTCATGATTCTTGTCTGATTGAGTTCAGATTTTCCATTACTAGAAATGCCAACATTATGTAAAATATAACCATAACACAATGGTAGCTAAAAATAGATAGAACTACTCTCGCCTACAGCTGGGGGTGATCTACATGATTTGGGCATGGTCTTGGCCGAAGACAGCACCTTCTGCAGGTCACCAAGCAACCCCTGCAGTTCACCATAAGAGTTAGCCATGATATTTAAACCAGTGACATGTAAATTGAATGTTTACCAGAAAAAAAAAACCAGAGATTAATAGGAAACTGCCTGCCAGCAAAACAAACCAACAAAAACGAAAGCGTTTCATTCGCTAGCAGTTCCATTCAGCGCAAGAGTAGGAACTAGCGCTTCTTTGAAGGAAACCGCGCGACCTGCACACGGGGATAACAAAGACTTAAAACGAGGAGAGAGATATGCACCGCGGAGCACAAGGCTTCACTAAGTAAACGGACTGCATGACCGTAGAGACACAGCCAACAACATTTGTTAGATAACAGAGAAGGATCTAATGTGACCTTAATCAGAAAACAGCGCGACCTGGGCTTCGACCTGCACATGTTGATCAAGAGGAATTTAAACGAGGAAAGCGCAAGTACCACAGAGCAGACACCTACACGAAGTAAACGGAGTGCACGAGGGGAGAGACACACAGCCAATTAGGCGCACTCGTGGCAATTGCAGAAAATAACGAGCTACTGGGACGGTTGAGACTATCGCGACAGTTAAACAACGGCGACGATGAGACAATGACAACGATTGAGACTATGGCGGCGGTTGAGATAACGAGACTGGAAAACGTGCCAAGGAAGAACTAAACTAAAATCAGTCACAGCCACCCTAGAATAACAAAATGAGAGCCCACTTCACCTTTTCTGTGCAAGCGTAAAGGGTAGGGTGGAGGGAGGTGGTGTGGATGGGGTTGGTTAGTTGGCACAAGTGGTGGTGGTTGGGCTGGATTTTGTTGAGGTGGATGCAATGCCGGCTTTGATTGGTTGAACAAAGTGGTATGCTCAGCTGGATTGAATGAGGCGAATTTGGTTGGTTGGAGAGATTTCTGGCCTGGTTGGGGTTGGTTGGGAAAGGGTAATAGGGTTTGGCAAATGCGCGTTGACTTTGGACATATGAATTATTATAAAAATTCAAAGCAGTGTTTGTAGTCCAGCCAGTTACGAAATTTGGCCCCGATGTGAAAGACCTGGGTTCAAATCCCAGAGCGGACCTTTTCTGAAATTTAGCCACCGCCCTCCCCCCAAGCCAGTTTTATTACCTTGCTGCGTCTCATAATTGAGGTATCATAATGATCCACACTTAACTTACTAATCATAAAATTTTTCAACCTTATTATTGTTTCAACAATTAACACCTGACAAACATTTCATTGAAACATTGCAAAACCATTACTAAAACATCAGCAAAGCATTTGGTCCGACAAAAATGATATACAAATGATATATAGATGATTCCAGGATGATTGTCAAACGATTTTTGAAAACTTGCTAAAAAAAAAATGGTCAGATGATTTCCAGACGCACACATTTTTGTGATGATGTGAGACACGTCAGCAGCAGCAGGGAGCACTAGCTGGGGTGAAACTGGGAACGGATCGTGTCGCTCGGCCGCAGCAGCAGAAGCAGTCCGTCCGCTTCATGATTTTTGGGCAGGTATCGTACCTTTCCCCCCAGGCATCAGTACAGCAAGCCAAGCTTAAAACGGGTACAACCATCCTAGTGCTTCCGTTGAATGCAGGGGATCATGGAGAAGGCCTGGGTGAAGCTGAATCAGCAGTCGTCGTTGCAGCAGGTTTGAATGGTCCAGCTGCGGCGCCTTCGGTGGACGTGCCTGACGTTGCTGCTAGCGCTACTACTGCTCTTGCCCGTCGCATCAACTACAGCAAATGGGACCACTTGCAATCCAGCAGTGACGAGGAGGACGAGGAGGAGAAGCTGAAGAAACAAGGAAAAAAAGGAGTTAAGAGCAGTGGTGAGGGGAAGGGCAAGGCCCAGATCTTCGCTGCTGCCAATGCCAGCACCTGCCTTCCTCGGCTTGTTGGAACACTGTGGGACGACCTGACTCTTCAAAACCCTCAACTTTTGATACCGGTAACCCACGATCTGCCGATGATGAACAAGCGTAAGGGACGGGGGCCAGCAAGGGCAAGAGCTGAGAAAGATTCAGAGAAGCTTCAGCTGCTGTGTCGGGCGGACATGGTTCACTATATAGACGTGAGGGACGCGTGGGGCATGGCCGTGTGCGAGTGCTGCTTCGACCGCGCCGTGAGCCAGCACACAAAACACGCCCTCATCATGACCAATCTCAAAGACTTCCGATATCACCTACGAGAAACACAGCCTTTCTCCATCCCCCTCACTCCCAACCGTCCGACCAGAGCGGTATACGAGTTCTCTTTGAAGGTTCCCGTGCCAGAGGCAGCAGCGCGGCTGGGAGTGCCGCCTAACATGCACTTTCAACTCAAGTGTGACGTGGCCCCTTTGCTCTGTGCGGAA